GGGGGGGGGGGGGGGGGCGGTCACGCAAAAAAAAAAAAAAGGCTTAAAAGGGGGGCCATCCCAAAAAAAACGGAGGGAAGGGGGGGGCGGTCACGCGAAATATTTTAGTTCACGTAGAGTTGACATGATGTTTTATTATTAAATAAAACTACATATACAGAAACCCGAGTCGGAAAGATCGGAGACTCAATTGAACAACTGCAAAGGTATAGTTTTCAGTACAATATTAAGATTATTGGCCTTCAAGAAAGCGAGACGCAAGAATCGGCCTCCCAAACTGCCTCCCTGTGTATCAATCTTTTCAAAGCCGCTGGAATTGAAATTTCAAATCAAGACATCGATATCGCCCATCGTATCCCTACCAGAATTGCCACTTCTGGCCCTCGACCAATTGTCTGCAAATTCACAAGAAGAATTATGAAAGAGCAAGTAATGAATGCACGAAATGAAGCTTGTAAAGTGTCGGCCAATTCGATCGGACTACCGTCCAGTTGTTCCATGGAAAACGTCAGGCTACTGTTGGCGGATTCAAAGAAATTTCAAAAGAGAAATAGCTTCAAGTTCTGCTGGGCCAAGAACTTTATTATTTATCTTTGACGAACCGAAGATTCTCGCCCGATCCAAATCAAGTGCTACAACGACCTTGTGACCTTTGCAAATCAGAAGGGTTTACCCGTGAGTTAAGTACCTTTCACAAATTTCTGAGCAACTGACACTTTATTTTTAGCTGAACCTAGCCGTCACTATGATGGCTGACGAGTCGCATTTGGAATTTCTCTTTCCATTTAATCATTTAGATAATAGTTCCTTTAACCTAGCACTCTATGAGTTATCCCATGGCCCTTTAAATTTCAATAGTAACCGTCTTGAAACACTCTTATTTAAACCTATAGGACAACCTGAGTTATCCAACTCACTTTCCAGTCATCTGAACCCTGATTCTAATTTTATTGCTGGTCTGCCCTTAAGTAGTTACTTGGCCGAGGATGATATAAATAGTGGAGTAGCTCCCCTAAGCGACAAAATAAATTTTTCCATTATACACTTAAATGCTCGTAGCTTGCTAAAAAATCTTGACCAATTTAATGCTTGGAAGTCTCAAAAAACCATTGTCTGTGATCGGTATTTCAGAAACGTGGCTGACTAATTGTACTGCAGAGCTGGTTAATATCACTGGAGACAATTTTGTCTCAAACCCTCGCAAATCCAAAACAGGTGGCGGAGTAGGCATTTATTTACAAAACGACCTTCCTAAAGCCTCCAAGTTAACTGAGCTTCTACTTTTTGCTGACGACACAAGTATCTTTTTTTTACACTCTAATCCAAACTACTTAGAGAATGTGCTTAATAATGAGTTACTAAATATTGATGTTTGGTTAAGGTGCAATAAGCTCTCAGTTAATATCAAAAAGACAAATTATGTTACCTTTAGTCCGAGTCAGAGGAAACTCAACCACAGTTTTTCTCTCTCTTTTGGAGGTCAACCTCTAATTCAAAGCAATGTAACTAAATTTCTTGGGGTGTACCTAGACGAACATCTTACTTGAAAGTATCACATAAACTTTGTCTGTAAACAAATCGTTCAATCAATCGTCATTTTATCCAGGACGCGTTTCTACTTATCTTGTAAGACCAAACTCACAGTGTACTACACATTAATTTATCCTTATATTACTTATTGTAACTCCACGTGGTCTTCTACTTACGTATCTAATTTAAACAGAATTTACTATCTACAAAAGCGGGCTGTGTGAGCTGTTACAAATTCAGAATATCGAGCACATACTGCTCCTCTATTCTCCAAATTGGAAATTCTAGATATTTTCCAAATTAATACGTTCGATACTGCTAAATTTGTGTTTCGCTACCACAATAATCTGCTGCCTCCACTCTTCCGCAATCTGTTTATGACAAACAGTCAAGTCCATAGACATGACACAAGAACAGCTAGTAATTATCGAGTGCATTCCTGTCGTACGAACATCAAGAAATTCACAATTCTTTACCAAGGACCTAGAATCTGGAACTGTCTTCCTGTATCCCTTCCTTGTCAAGCTTTTCTGTCTTAAAGAACAAAGTGATAGAGTTTTTATTAAAATAGTTACTAAATTAGTTTAGCCGGACTTCTTCGCAGCCCTTATTTCTTATAATATTGTAATGTCGAGTTGACCTCTCTTTATAAGCCTGGTGGTTTCTTGAGGTCTCCTCGCCTAACAACCTGCTGTATCTTGTTAAATTTGTTGAACCTGCTGTATCTTGTTCAATTTGTTGTAAAAAAAGGCTAATAAATGATGATGATGATGATGATGATGATGATGATGATGAAACAAGCAAAAGGTATATAAATGTATCAAACACTTTTGTTCTGCGTTTACATGACAGTGTTCAGTTCCACGACAACAATTTTCAACGCTAGGAAATTATCATTAAAAGATTCTTTATCAGGTTAGTGCTGTGCAACGTCTCTCTGCTCATGTTCCTCTTCGTCATCATCGCCAAGCTCTTCCTCAACGCTCGTGCTGCTGCTAGAGTCGCTTTCATCGTTTTCAGTCATAGCATACTCTTCAGGCTACATGAAGAAGTACACGTTATCTCTAACCTCCGGCTTGAAGTTTGTGATAATTCTGCTTCCTGTGGCGTTGCTGAAATGGTTTCCTTGCAAGAGCTGTGCAATGTATGCCGCATCTCGATCGAAAAGCAATTCGGAAACTTTCTCAACGTCGATGCACCTTTCAGGGACGGCAAGGCAAGGAGGATACAGAAGACATTTTGGAAGATCATTACCTAGCGGGTTTCCGACACAAATACTATACACTCGTTGGACGTTGTTTTCAAACCATTTCTTTTTTCTTGCATTCGATTTTCGACATTTTTCATTTTTTCTTCTTCCCTTGCTGATGCGGTCTCTATGTAGGCCCTTGAAAATGCTACAAAAACTGTCTTTACTTTCTTCTAGTGTCTCTGCATCCCGCGTTACCTTTTGCACCTTAGCCTCGACGCACTTGATCTGCTTTACATTGAAATCGTGAGCAAATTCTTCTCCTTGCTTCAAGATAAGCCCATTAGACTGGAAAAGCGTAGAATCATGTTCTTTCAAGGCTTTCACTGAAGGATTACCTTAAGCACCTTGAGGTGATGGAGTTCAAAAAGAAGAAGAGAGCAGAGGAGCGTGCGAGGGAGAGCCAGAAAACCAAGGAAAAAGTCTATGCTGATTATGCTTGGAAAGATCTGTGTGAAGATTCGACCAAACTGAAACAGCCTCGAGTGCCCGAGCTTAACAAGTACCTCAAGCATCATGGAATACACCAACACATCAAAAGCCCTAAGAACGACAAGGTGAAGGTAATCGCAAGGCATTGGCTTCTCCAAATGAATCCTGAAGGCCCTGATCCATTAATTCTGCAAACACGACTGAGAGAAAGAGATGGAGCTGATAAAGATCCTTACAAGACAGTGACAGCGATGAAGATGAGTACAGCAGAAGTGAAAGCGATGATAATGATAAGAGCGACAATGATTCCATCAACTCTGGGGGTGAAGATGTCATCCTTGCCTTTATCGATGACGAGGAAGAAGTTGAGAGGCTAGCAACGACACGCTCTGGAAGATTCATAAACCAAAGATCAGAAATTGACTTTTCTTTCTTTTGATTCTCTACATTTTTTTCTGTTTGAAAAATAGTGAAGAAGTGCCTTAGCAAATGGACAGAATTTATTTTTTGAATTAACAGAAGTCGCTGCTACATCTGTAGAATGAGTTGTCAACAGCTTTACATTGAACAGATGTTACAAATCATATTGTACACTGCAAAATATATACATGTCAGGTTTAATTGTGATAATGTCTCTTTTGAAAGGGGGGGGGGTCCACCCGAATGAAAATGACCGTCTGTTGGGGGGGGGGGGG